TGTAATTCCAAAAAATGATCCAATTTCAATACTATTAATCAACGACACACACAAAATGGCATTGCACGGTGGACCGAAACTGACGGAATCAATGATGCGGCAGAATTATTGGCTTATTGACTCTAAATCGACGATTAAAAGGGAAATCAGCAAATGCATGGTGTGTGCCAGAAATTCGCCGAAAAGATTACAACAGAAAATGGGAGAGTTACCTGAGTGTCGCGTTAATCAACCATTTAAAGTTTTTATGAATAGTGCAATAGACTTTGCCGGCCCATTTATGATCAAAACATCGACATTACGTGCCAGCAAAGTGCTAAAAGCATACGTGTCGGTATTTGTGTGTATGGCGTCGAAAGCAATTCATTTAGAGCTTGTAAGTGATTTGACAGCCGATGCCTTTATCGCCGCCTTGCGTCGTTTCATAGCAAGAAGAGACAGGGTGTACAACATATACTCCGATAATGCTACGAATTACGTAAAAGCTAACAGAATTTTAAAAGAACTGAGCCAGTTGGAGCAGGAAACATTTCAAAAACATGCAGATCAAGAGCTCTTGGCGAATGGAATAGAATGGCATTTTGCGCCACCAGATAGCCCACACCATAATGGGTTGGCGGAACACCAGCGTGTGAAATCGATGAAATTTCATCTAAAAAGAGCGTTGGGTGACAGAGTACTCACATTTGAAGAAATGAGCACGCTATTGGGCCAAGTTGAAGCAGTGGTAAACGCAAGGCCAATATGCGAGATGAGCCAAGACCCAAATGACTTCTCAGCTCTGACACCATCGCATTTTCTAAACCTGGTTCCAATTGAATTGCCTCCAGATACTGACTACGTCGACATGAAGTCGAGCTACCTGACAAGGTGGCAGTTGGTTCAAAAAGTACACCAGAATTTTTGGAATGGGTGGAAGCGTGATTACTTGAACCAACTGCAAGTCAGGCAAAAGTGGAATACGGAAAAGGCAGACGTCAAGTTAAATGATCTTGTCATGATCAGAGATGACAATCTGCCATCCACGAAATGGGCAACTGGAAGGGTGGTTGCCACACATCCCGGTGAAGATGGTCACACAAGAGTGGCATCGGTCAAAACAGCACATAATACGTTCAAGAGAAGTATTACCAGGTTGGCACCGTTACCGCTTATGACTACGTTATTACTCATTTTTTCAACGCTATCGAAAACCAATGCGGTGTCACATTTCGGAAACGATTCACCAGCTTTCAAGATAGAAAACTTTGAGCATCGACCGGGCATGTACTTCGAAACAATTTCAAAAACGTACGTGGCAAATGTTGTAATTAGAACCGCTATGAATATAAGAATGGGGAAAGCAAGGAATGAAAAATAATAACACGACTGTATAGTTTACTTGACAGTGAAGAACTGATTTAATAGAACGTTTCAATGTTGCTTTACACCTCTGTGGGTGGTACAATATCATCATTTTATAACATGCTCTCTTAATTGAAATAAAATATTGATTTTTTTTACAATTATCGTTTGAATAAAAGATGAATGACAAATAACAACATTAAACATTTTGATTCTGATTGTTGTTTTGATATTTCTTTTTAAAGTTTTTCTTAACTGTATGAGCAAGATAAATGAGCAATTTCAAGACTTCTGCTGCGACGAGTAGATAGGTTGCGAATAGCAATTTTTCGCTGCTCAGCATCTGTAGATGGGTATCTTGCGCCTCTCTAATGATGATGTTATTATTGACTTGTCCCGTACCGAAATTATGCCGCCAAATAGTGAAAAGACATTTTCTCAGTTGCAACCAACGGACTAGAACTCCATAATTGTCCGTAGTGGCGCTAGCAGTGCTATAGTTTTGCATTTTATACAGTCTCTTATGGGGCATAATTTCGGTGTGACTTGTCCGGTGGAGTCGACCGTCTTCACATCCACTTCTTCCTCAGATGAGCTAAACAAAAGACCCATGGCTGCTCGATTTGAGATGTTCGTACCCCGATAATTATTGATGGACTGAATAATTTTTGGTCATTTATGTTTGCTTTTATACCGTCGTATAATGCTCATGTTCTAAATATTTCAATGTATTTATCGCTTAATCTGCTAAACAATATGAATGAAATTAATTTTTGATAAACAATATAATCGACTTTAAAAGAAAAAATTGATTTTCTTTTACGCTGATTAATCTAAATTTGAAAAAAATTGAAGATAAAAAAAATGGTTAATGTGCAGTTTGAACAAAAAAAGAATTACTCGTTCATTCCCATTCCAATTACACATGCGCGTGTTTTATCGCCCGGTAAACCTTTGGTCAACAAGTCAGCTACGTTTGCGTTCGTTGTAACATGATATAAGCAAATAGTTTTTAACTGGATTTGTTGGCGTATATGGTGGTGACGTACGTCTATGTGCTTTGTTCTCTCTCTAAACGCATCCACTTCGCCAATCTTTATTGAGCTTATATTGTCCACATAA